CACCCTAGGTGGAAGAGCTACTCTGACTCGCAGATCCCTGTGGCTGCTATGTCCATCTGGTGGACAGGTATTACCCGCTTCCTAATTTCTCATGACATCCTCAATGCACCTGTCACTCTCCAAGGTCTGGGAGCTAGCTGCTGGTGTCATACCAATACCCAGATCATCTTAGCGTGTGGCTTCTTGGAGGCTGTAGGGCATTGCAGGCCATCATAGTTGCTGTGATAATGACCGTGCCAAAGAAAAATAACTCGGAAAGAAAAGGGTGTGTTTCAGCTTACAGCTTGTAGTGTTATCATCCAGGGGAGTCAGCATTAGGGAGTTCACGGCAGGCACCTAGAGTCAGGAGCTGATGCAGAGGCCACGGAGGATGCTGCTTACTGGCTTCCTCATGCCTTCCCCAGCCTGCTCTCTTTTAGCATCCAGGGCCACCTACCCAGGGCTGGCACTACCCACAGTGGAGTGGGGCCTCCCACATCAATCATAAATCAAGAAAATGCCTCACAGGCTGATGTTACAGGGGCATTTCCTCACTTGATGCTCCTCTTCCCAAATAGCTCTAGCTTGTGTCAGGTTGACGCTAAACTAGCCAGGACACATGTCTCGCCTGTAGCTGAGGTTATCTTTTGAGAGACATTTTCAAGTTGATGAAAATGTGTCGTTAGGGCTGGGGAGGTGGCCCAGTGGGTAAAGGCTTGCCGTACAAGCGTGAAGACCTGAAAGACTTATTTCAAAGGGCGGAGAAGGGCTGAATGGGTAGAATAAGAGCAGACCCAGCTGTAACTACGTTCCCACCAGTTGTGTGGGTCCCGCTGCTGTCTCTGCCCCCAAATAACACACGAGACACTATATTAATTATGAAGCTGTTGGCCATTTGCTGTGGTTTCTTAATGGCTAGCTCTGACTTATATTTACTAGCCCATAATTGCTAATATATATTTTATAAGGTCTAATCTTACCAAGAACACCAGACTTGCACCCTCTCCTCCCAGGGTCACATGGTGACTTCCTACTACATTTCCCAGAATCCTCCTTAGCTCCTAGTCCCGCCAGTCATGCTTCCCTATTGGCCAACAGTGCTTTATTCATCAACCAATAAGACAAACATGTACTCAGAAGGACTTCCCCCATCACCCAGCATAGGTGGTGAGGGGTTGGGAGCAGAGACTCTGGATGGAGGAGACAAAGACACTCATGTTAAATTGTGTGTGTAGTGTGTTACAGTGTGTTACCAGGGTAACAAACCTGACTGATTCTGGTCTCGGATCAGATGAGAACAGTCACTGAAGACAGTCATGGAATGTTCGCAATTTGTTTACTCTTGAAGAGCCTCTTTGTCTTCTCCTGTCCATGAATAAACCCAGTGTGATTGAAAAGATTTTTGTCTCCTACATGAATAGTACTGGTTATTGAGTTTCCCTATTTTTTTATTACTTGTTTTATTACACCCTTTGTCGCTCAGCCGTCACCAGTCAGCTCTTCAGCATCCCCGATCAGTATAGGCGGCATCCTGCTCCTGGGTTGATGGGATGCCAGTCCATTAAAACAAACTTTGATATTTCAGATAGCCCGAGCAACGAGGTTTTTTTTGGTTCTCTTAGAGCAGTTCTCTGAAGCCCCACCCCTAACCACTGTAGCTTTTCAAACAGAGAAAGGCATCTGCTGTGTACAACAAGTGTCCCATGGTGGGGGTCAGGTAGTCAGAGAATGACAATTACGTGTTCATTTTCTTATTTACTTGGCTTTTGTCAACAAGTGTTTTTTCTCATCTGTTAAGTTACTGTCTGTAGTAAACCAGCTACGGACTGAATGTTTGTGCTTCTCCAAAATCCCTGCTGTCCTTCTAGCCTGTGGTACCGGGAGTGGGGTCTTTGGAAGAACAATTAGTCGTAAAGGTGGAATCTTTATCAAAGGGGTTGGAAGAGACAGGGAGCAAGAAGGTAGTCACCTGCAAAGGGGAGAGGAGGTTGTCACCCAAACCTGGCCCTGTTGACACCCTGGTCTCAGACTTCCACATTCCAGAAAGGAGAAATCCGTATTTACTGTTTAGTAAACATGTGTGGCTCATGACATTTTGTTAGGGTCACGTGCTTAGCAATCCCTCGTCTTATCCTCACTTTCCAGATGCTGACATGAGTTCAGGACATTTAGTTTTATTTTGCAGAGGGCAGACAGCTAAACTGAGTCTAGGTTCGAACACAGGCAGCTGGTCTGAATTCCTTATGCCTGTGACACAGTTGTTACAGAGGGACTGGGAGACTGAGCTGGGCTTGCCAATTGGCAGGATTGGCAGAATCGAGATCAAACAAGAGGTCTCAGCCAAAGCTGAGAGAAATAAAAGCATCTATCCAGGACTAAGACATGCATGTGCACATATTCATAGCAGGCTAAACTGTTAATAGTTCTATCAGCCAGAAAAGGCCACTTGGAGTATAAGGATCATCACTAGAGATACAAGCAAGCACATGCTTTCCCAGCATATGGGAGATGGAGGCAGGAGGATTTCAAGGTCAAGGCTAGTCCAGGCGCAGTTAGACCTTGTTTCAAAACAAAACAAATGAATAAAAACAATAAGTCTAGGGGCTAGCAGGTGGCCCAGCAGTCAAGCGTGCTTGCTGCTCTTGCAGAGGACTGGAGTTCGGTTCCCAGCACCAGCATTCAGTGGTTTACACCTTTCTGTAACTCCAGTTCTAGAGGATGTGGTCTTCTGACCTCCAGTGCTGTGTGCATGCTTACACGTGCGTACACACACACACACACTCACACACACAGATACACAGACACACACACAGATACACAGACACACACACAGGTGCACACACACAGATACACAGACACACAGATACACAGACACACACACAGATACACAGACACACACACACAGATACACAGACACAGATACACAGACACACAGATACACAGATACACAGACACATACACACAGATACACAGACACACACACAGATACACATACACACACACAGACAAACACACACAGATACACAGACACAGATACACATACAGACACACAGGTGCACACACACACACAGATACAGACACACACAAACACACACATACACACACAACAGAGAGACAGAGATAAAAAAAAAACAAAAAACATAATACCCCATGAAAGAATCTTCCCAGAAGATGCACTGGTTGGCTCATTTACATGAATTTCCAGAAACTGATGGAAACACTCAGACCTGGGTTGACTCTGGAGCCTTAGCATGGAGACTCACTTGGGAGATGCAAGAAGGACTCTCTGCCCTGAGGGCGATGATCCTGGGTTTGGGTTATACAGTTCTATGCATCTGCCCAAACTTAAGACTTGTATGTTTCCCCTTAAAAGGAAAAAAGGAAAAGTAGATTAAGAACTATGGTGGATGATGTGTCCACTGAAGCACTTTGGGGGTGGGGGGGGAGCAAGTGTACTGGTGTGTGCAAATGGTTTTGGAACAGGTCCAAGAAATGCATGGGCAGTGTTTACCACTGCGCGGAGGGGAAGTGCACAGACGGAGAAATGCGTGATAAAGCACGTATTCGCTCAGTTAATCATAGTGGGGGGAAAAGCGGCAGGTACCTGAGCTCACATCGCGAGATTCATCAACCTTGCTCCATATTTGAAAACTTCATAATAAACGATCAGGGCCGACAGAAGACAGACCCTAGCTGGGCTTCTTTATGTAAATAGAGAGCATGTGGCCTCTGTAGTCATAGAAGCAGAGGTCAGCCAGAGGGAGTCACTCCAGGGCAACCGTAAGGGCCTGCCCCCCCCACCGCCGCCACAGAGCCTCGGGTGAGGAGGAGGCACAGAGACCACTTGTGTGTGAGAGGCGGTGGCAGAACAGGCTGTGCACGTGCATACATGCAGCCCTGTAATTTAGGGCACTGCAGTAAAGGTTTGCAAATTAGATGGCTTGGGATAGCACAAAATGATTCCCTTCCTGCTCTGGAGACGTGAAGTCCGGATTCTTTACTGGTGGGTGGTATCGGGAGGGAGCATGATGTCACTGGAGAAGGGAGGTGTCTTTGCTTCTTCCTGGCTCCTGGTGCTCTCAGTCAACCTTGGCTTGTGGCTGTATGCCCCACCTTCATCTTTTGCCGCCATGCCCGTGTGTCTTTATCTGAGGGCACCAGTAGTATGGGATGTGGAGCCCACCGCACTCTGCTGTGGTATCCTAACTTCATCCGCAGAGACCGGGTCTCAACAAGGCTGAGGGCCGCCGGGGTTGAAGGTGGGGATTTGGGTGGATGCTATCCAACCACTGGAGATGACAAACTAAGCTGGTGGTGATGAGTGACAGCAGATGCTTCGAGGGCTGGGTCGCAAAGCAGGATTCCAGGAGGATATAGAGGGAGCAAGTGTGATTTTCTTTTTAAATGCCAAGGGGAAGAAAGGAGGGTCGGGCACAGAATGCAAGGACAGTTATTTCAACCACAAACCTCTCCTCCCACTTACCTCCTGAATCTCTTAAAGAATTAAAATGTAAATCTCAGAAATTAAATCCACGGGTGCCGGGTGCACGGAAGAGGCTTTTGCAGAACAGACAAAGCTGCTCTCCTTCCTTGTTAAACAGCCACACACGGGTGGGAAGCCGCGTCTGTACGCGAGGGTTTTTATTTGAGATGGATTAAGGTTCGTGATGAACGAATCTCAGAGGGATCGCAGGTGCAGCTCTCATAAGCTTGCAAAAGTTCAGCTTATCTGAGGCTTATCCAACCTGAGGAAACCTTTCGGGCCAGCTAGAGGTTAGGGACCTCCTGGAGCCGAGTCAATATCCTGTGTCAGGAAACCACCTGTATGGGGGAGGTCTATAAATTAAAAGTTCCCTGGGACCAGAGGACCACCCACTCTTGTCGGTAGATGGATTTCAAGGGCAACCACCTGGCCCTTGTGGGGTGGAGTTTGTGCAAGCCACTCCTTGGGGGCCCTCAGGGGCTTTCAATTCTCACGCTGGGTTGGGTCACAGCAGCAGGCCCCAGCCACCTGCTGCTCTTACAGCACCCCCTTTATGTGGAGTCTCTGTCTCTTTTACCTCTCTCAGGGACTCTCTCTCTCAGGCAGCTTAGACCTGTTGTGGTATTTACTCAGAGCTCCAGAAGCTTTCTGGTGAAGTTTGTATAGACAGGGATTCTTTAGTGATCCCTTCCCTGGACAGTCTACCTTACTTCCTCATTTTAAAATTTGTCATCAGTTGAACGGCTCCCCCACCCACCCAATATTTGCTTTTGATTTAAGGCTCAGATGCTTGGATATAGGGCTGACTTGGTGTAATTGGGCTACTGTCTGAAAATAACCATAAATCGAGCGGCTCATAAAAAGTAATCTCTGACAATTCTGGAGACTGGAAAAGTTGGCGATCAGAGCCCAGCACTGGCTGAGTTGGTGTCTAGTGAGGCTCAGTCTATGGCTGGTAGATGGTGTATTTTGAGCTAAGTTTGCACAAGGTGGAAGGGACTTACTGGGGCTCCTAGGGGGATACCAATCTCATCTATGAGAGTCCGCTCCCATGACTTAGTCACCTCCCAAGCTCTCCCATCGCCTAATAGTATCGAGCTGGGATTTGGTTTTCAGCATGCAGATGTTGAAGGAACGTGAGATTTCAGTCCAGGGCAGCTAGGCTTGGAATGAAAGCTTAGATTTCAGATGGCTCTCAGTAGGACTGGTGATTCCCCTAAGATGTGGGGAGGGCAGAGAGAAGGCTGAAGACAGAGACGGAAATCGGTCAGTGTTACGCTCCTACCAGAAGCCAGGTGATGCCAAAGTCCTTCCTTAGTCCCTGAACAGGAGAAATGGTAAGTAGTTAGCATGGCACTCTACGCTGTCTGAAAGTTGTGTTCCTGTTTCCCACCTGTCTCTTCAGCTAAAATATTCACTAAGTGGATACAAGGGCCAGCTGTGTTATCAGTACCCATAGCTCATCTTAAGTGCTCGGTGAGAACCTGTCAAAATGATGGACCCCGTGACTGAGATAGACACCAGGGAGGTTTATGAATGTCCCAGTGTCATGCTCTCATCAGAATCATCACTGAAGTCTGGGTTCTCCCCCAAAGTTCAGGTTTTCCTAGTGTTCTGCAGCTTAAAAAAAATATTACTCTTAATGTCTTTAGCACAAGTGTAATAATCTCTCCAAGTGCAAGTCTTGGTTTTATGAGGTATTTTAAAAGAACCTGAAGGTCATTTAAAGTTCGTTTTGATGAATAGAACAAGCAAATCACCAGGTGAGAGAGTGCCAGTCCAAATCAGAAGGAAAAAAAAACAAAATAAGATTCAGTTTAGGGTTAGGGAACTGTGGCTCCTCTGTTGCCCCTCACATTGTAAGCATCAATGGGGGAACAGGCTGGTCTTGATCACCATTTACTCTCCAAGACTTGGGGCTCGTAGATAATTAAAGGGGTGCTTGGATGGATTTGAACCTGGGGCTTGCTTGTAGAGGACAGAAGCCATCCTCTGTGTCGTTCCGTAAGTTCTATAGGCTTTATTTCTGAGACAGTCTCTCTCACGGACCTGGGACTCACCAGGTTGGCAAGGCTGGCTGGTCAGTGAGCCTGAAGGATCTGCTTGTCTCTGCCTTCCCAGTGCGGGGATTGTAAATGCGTGACATCATTTCTGTTGTTGCTGTTTTTTTATGGACTTTAGGGATCGAATGCTGGTCCTTAAGCCAGAAAACTTTACCAACTGAGCCTTTGCCCCAGACCTTGAATAATGGACACGTGATGAATAAGTGTCTGAGTGTGCAGATGGCTTATAAACAACAGGGCGTCCTATTCTGAAAAAGACTTTGTTACAGATCTAGAATACTTTGTTGCTACCTTGAAGGCACCTGCCAGTGTTGCAGTCTGTTAAAGGGTGCTGCTTCTGTGTCCTGGCTCTTGTGTATCTGCGGCTCCTCGGTGACACAGGTTCTTGATGGCAGCCTAGATGTTTTGGTGTGTTCCAATCACACTAATTGTTGTTGCCCTAAAGTTTAGAAAAGTTGTGGCTACAAAGTAGAATAGTCATACCCCAGTAGCTGCAATGCACTCTTTGGATGATGCTAGGTGTGTCCCATTTGATAGATGGGCGTCGGCACACCCCCTTGAAGACCCACCCTGTACGGGCTTGTGCTCTGTGAGATGGTGGTAAACTATTTGCAGTTTTCTCCTCCACTTTTGTACCTCTCTTTAACTAAATTTCAACTGTCTTCTTAGCCATGGTGGCTCCTACGCTCCCACCTGCTCAACAGATGTACTTAATCAAGGTGGCGTGGTTAGCTGAGGAGGGCTGGGATTTCACTGAAAACAGGCTGCAAACTTGAACTTCAATCGAATTGCTAGGAGTCAGATGAGGTTCTGAATGTCTCACTGTGGGTTTTTTTCTTGGCCTTCCCTGATGTAGTCCTCAGTATGCCCTCTACAAAAATGTTAATCAAATATCCAAAGCCCATCAATTTAAAGGGCACGAAACTAGCAATTGGCCTACCGCGCTCTGAGACTCAGTCTGGCTGAGAAAGTCTGTGAAGAGAGAAAGCTAGAAATAAGTGAATGAGACAATTTAAAGTAGAGAGAGAGTTCATAGGAACACAAGAGAGAAGGTTCAACAGAGGTTGGCCAGGGAGAGAAAACAAAACAATAACAAACCATGAATGCCCTGCAGGAATTGGTAAACTATGGCCTGTGGGCTCTCTGTTCTCTTTTTAAATAAAGTTTTATTGGCACACAGCCATGCCCATTCATTTGTTCATTGCCCCTTAACTGTTTATTTAGTAGTAAAGACGGATGCTTTCCAGCTGTGTGGCTGGTCAAAATGTTTACCACCTGGCTCTGTGCAGAAGGAACCAGAGATAGATTTTTAACTCTTTGTCCAAATGTCTTCTTTCCTGTGTTTACTGGGCAGACTTTTGATGAGCATCCATAACAAAAAGAGAAATTGTGGAAGTGGTTATGAGTCTGTGTAGGGAGTGAGGAAGCCCTTGGTGAATGGTGAAACAAACCAGGCATGCAGCAAGCAATGTCTGATAGCTCTTCAATGTGTATCAGTCAGGAGGCTCTGGTTAACTCATCAAAAAAGACAAAAACAACCAAACTCCCTTCATTGAAGTCACTCAGGAGCGTTGTTTGTGCTCTAATTATTGAAGACTTGTGGTCCACAGATGCAGGCTAAGTACACGTCAGACAGAGGATTTATATTCTCAGAAATGGGACTCTTAAACAAGCTAAGTATTGTATGGTGAAGTTATTATGGACAAAAGAAACCATACCAGAAATTTTAATTGATTTTTGTAACTGCCCTGTTGAGTTCTCCAGGACATGTTATAAAAGTACACAGGTCTTGTGCGTTCACTTGCAGTGACAGGGACTTCAGCAATAGACCCAGCCAGGTGAGCAGGGTCCAGAATGACTTTTGTTTGTTTAACTGTCCATTGGGTGAGTATTTGTGGGGTCATGGCTTAACTGTCCATTGGGTGAGTATTTGTGGGGTTATTTTTAGGTGTTCTGTTCTCATTTATCAGTCAACTTAGGCAACATCAATTTACCTCAGAGACCCAGTTTGTAAAACAGTGAAACAAGCCCACTGGAATATTTAGAAACCGCTTTCCGCACAGACAGAAGGTGGGGAGACAGAAAACTTATTTGAAACTCCCTGGCCATGCTATAGCTCCTTACTTAAAGTTTTATAATGAGCCTTCCTTTTATAGAACGGTGACTCTCAATTTGCTTTTTAGAGTGAGGTTGGCCCAATTAAATTGGGAGTGGGCACTTGGATGACCCAAAAGCAGATGCTCACCTCTTTCTGGGGGAAGGGGTGGATTTGGAGACTCTTCACTGTCTCCTCAGGTCACTGGGCACAGACTTTGCCCAATAAAAGTAGGATTTGTGTCTCTTAGGAGACATGTCCTTCTTGGCTGGCTCTATCAGAAAATGCAAAACAGATGTAATCCATGGGGAGGGTTGGGTGACATTTCTGTGAACTTGGGACCCGATGAAACCCTCTCTCTTGCCCCCACTATGAAATTATTTCCCCTAAGTCTTCCCAAAATGGACTTGGCTCTATTTTTCCTTTGAATGGTAAAGAATATGCTAATAGATTTTTAAGGAATCAATGCAAAAACAACAACAACAATAAAAAACCAAAAAACCAAAGTCCCAAACATCCTTTATCTTGCCTTCTCCTCCCCAGACTTTAATGGCCCCTGGAGTGGGTGGAGCGGTGCCAGTGGGCTTTTGTGCTCTCCCAACCTGCTGTTTGCACAAGTGGTTGTTATGACTGCAACAGTGTAATTGCTTTTAGAATGCCTCAACAATAAAAAGAAATCTGTTTTTATTTTGTAATCTCAGGTCTCCTTAGCTCCCATCTTGCCAGCCACTCTAGTAACCCTCTGGAAATGAACCTCGCAGATACGCTCTCCCAGCTTGGCCAGTGAATGACTTTCCGTCAGTCAGCATGGGGGCTGGTGACTAAGGAGGGGGTCTCGAGAGTGACAGGAAAGTCATAAGTGAGCAGAGGCAGTGGGGATTTGACTCCTGGGTAGCAGCGATCTGTGCCTTCTCTTGACCGGGGTGGGCTGGGTGGGGGCATACGTGTAGAAGTGTGTTTTCTAGTGCTGTTGTCGAACAGCGTCAGTTCCTTTGGGCTTTCAAGACTATTGGGAGTCATCCTGCTCCCTGGTTTCCCATGACACCCACGGGCGAGGACCAGATGGACTGGGCTCTTGCTCACAGTGAAGGGCCCAACCTCACCCTCAGGCAGAAGTGTGACTGAATTTCCCACCCCAGTTCTACAGCTGCATTGCCCCATAGAAGCACACGGGTGCTATACTAATTATGAAAATGTTGGCCTTTGATTAGGGCTTCTTATTGGCTAGCTCTGTCTTAGTTATTAACCCATTTCTATTAATCTGAGTATTTCCATGTGGTCTTATCTTACCGGAGAAAGAGTCCAGGGACCTGTTACTCCTCTGCGTGCTACATCTCAACTGCCTACATGGTATCTGGCTCTGCCTACATTTCCCAGAATCCTCCTTGTCTCCCAGTCCCACCTATCATACTGCCTCATTGGCCGTGGTGCTTTATTCATCAACCAATGAGAGAGACATATATTCACAGTAAACAGAAGGACATCCCCCATCAAAAAGTAACTCACGCAGCCCTAACACCCATGGGCCTGAGGCACTGGCTCAAGCAGAGGTCTACACAAGCCCTTCCCGTAGGCTAGACACCTCACTGCAGATCTGTGGACAGCAACTTGCAGACTCAAATGATTGATCTCTGGTGGGAGCAAGGATGCATGAGTAAGTACATGTTAGGACAGGTACTTCTGGTCTTTGGGGACAATGGCCAAGAGCGTCTTGCAGAAGGACTCCTAGATCATTGTAAGCAAAGATCTCCAGGTCACTGAGAGAAAGCAATTTACTCCTTTGGTATTACCGAAGACTGAAATGAAGGAAGGCTTCCCCGGGACCCCACAGTGATGGTTTACCCTTGGAACCCCTTTCCCTTACCTAAAAGCAAAGGGCTCAGTTCACACCCGCTCTGATGTTTGGGAATTCCTGCCCCCAATTTTCCCTTTCACATGCTTTAACTCAGTTGAAAATGTTTTCAAGTGTTTGGAGTCTCAAAGAGACAGTCTAGTTAAAATGTTGCAATTTCTCCTGGTAGCGCCTGAGTAACCCGTTGGTAGTAAAAATGTAGTCAGCTTGTTCTACACAGAGTCGGCTGTTCACAACACAGCTGCCCAAAAGTTTATTGCTTGGTGCTTTTAAAAAAAAAAAGACAAAAAAAAAACCTTTCTGATTTCATTTTCAAGAAAAGTTGAATTTAAAAACTCAGAATATACTTTATAATTATGCCACTTACTTGGCAGCATAAAGGGAAAATTTATACGGCCTATCAATGCGAAAGAACAGGGCTGAGGCTCCAGGCTTTTACCGCGATTATGTATACCTGTATGGGGGCTTTGTGTGCTCACAATTTGAATCATTTATAGATGCACACTCGACAGAGTTCGTGCGTGTAACTAGTACTGTGGGCTTTTTTTTTTTTTTTTGCTGACTAAATGATAGGCAAAGCAATTTCCAACAAATGTCTCCCAGTAGGTTCTCATCACAGAGGCCTTGTAATATTGCTTTTTAACCTTACCGTTGGCAGCTGTCCAGAAATTACTGCATTGATACCAGACTGCCATGCACCAGGCTGTTACCGCTTTCTCCCTGGGAACCTGGTGAACTCCCAAGTAGGTGCCAGCTCCTCTGCCCTCACCCTCCTTCATCTTTTACTACGAGGAGACCTTTTCACCTGCTCCTGTTCGGCTGTAGGTAGCGGAGCACGCGGGAAGTTGAAAAAACACAGCAAAAAAAAAAAAAAAACAAAAAACGGATTGTCTGGGTTGGGTTGGGTTATTAATGGCTTTAATGCATTCGGTTAGCATTTGGAGCGTTGCCGCCAAATAAATGACGCACATTGGTGGGTACTGGGGGGGCTGGAAGGGTGTTGGTTGCTTTCTTTTCTCCCCTTGGGCAAAGGCAAATCCAACTTTCTTCTCTTAGCGCCTGCCCACCCGTCCCTGTCCCCTTCCTCTTTCAAGGCATCTTGTAAATGGCTTTTGGGGATTGACAGACCGTGAGTCTGTGGTTTAGTGAAGGACTGGTTTCTACGGGAAAGGCTGGGAACAAGAAGATCCTACAGTTTCCTTGCATAGGAGGTGGCGTGGAAGAAGGAGAGAGAGAGAGAAGCAGCAGCGTCTCCAGGTATCCACTTTGGTGGGAGCTCAAAGGTAGCATGAGTACTGGCTTCCCCCATTCCGTGTTGGCGTCAGAGGCTGGAGACGTAGGCTGACTTACGGGAGTCCTGATGAAACACGGTGTGCTGTTTGGTTCCGTGTCTGCTGCCTGATGTGTTCTAGAAGTTTGACTTCAAATGTCCACCAGGTTTTGAATTCATCTGTTCTGTGCCCATGCACGAGTACCATGCACTTGGAAGGTTTATGTGTCTTTGTGATGGCAGGGGCATCTTCAGCGGTTGGCTTAGTGTGCAATGAAGAGAAACCAACCCAGTTGGTGTGTTGAAGGAATGGGTCTTATTCTCACCCAGTGGGGAGATCTACGGGTTGGCCTCCGATTCTGTGACCACCGCATGCCAAGTCGGCTTATCTTGGGATGAAGTTCTCCCACTGTGTCTAGTTGCTGGACCTGGCTTTTTCTCCCCCAGCTCTTATCTCCCTGTCTGTCTGCCTTGAGATTCTTTCTCCTCAAGTTTAGCATGCCTCCCTAGGGGACATCTGTCTTCTCATGGGGGGGTGTCAGGCTGATCCTCACCGAGACGTCAGAAGAAGAGAGAGTCAAGAACCATCTCTGGCCTTGACCTTCTAGATGGCAAGTGCCACGAGTGGAGAAATAGATAATTATGACATACCCTCGGTTCATAGGAAACTCTTTGGCTCGGAAACGAAGGATGAAATTGGAAATGTAAACTCTTAATAGAAAATCTAACTCAGAGCACTGAATACAACTGTGGAAATCAATGGTCTCCAATCTACTTACTTTTTTTTTTACTGTTTCTGAGACCTAAAATATGTTTCATTTAGTAATTAATGTGAGTGAGTGAATGAGTGAGAATTCCTATATGGTGGGCAAAGGGAAAGTTAATGTAGTCCACTGGTGTAGTCTCAGTGTAAGTCTCTTCCAGGACAGCTGAGGAAGTAGGAGGAGTGTGGAAGGCATGAGAGAAACGAATCTGTCAGCGGGCAGCTGGGGCTGGGGAGATGCAATTTCTTCAGTAAACAGAGTCGCTAATCCAGGGAATTCCTCAGAGGCAGTCTTCCCTATGATTTGGATGGAGGTGCAGTGGCATCCCTGCACCGTGTGATAGGATCCACCCCCTCCAACAACTTGTCTTTTGTAGGAGGAGGACAGCGAGTCCATCTTTAAGTCTTGGAAGAGGAATGACTTCTCTGACCGCGGGTAAATTTGCTAGATTACTCAGGTGGATCCAGAAGCCCAACCCTCAGGGATGCGAAGATGGTTCGGCAGGTGAGGGCCTGAGGTCGAATCCCCCGGCAGCACCTGTGTGGATGCTGGGTGGGTGTGTCGCCTACCTGTAAGCTCAGCGTTTGAGAGGAAGAGACCAGGCAGGGTCCCTGGAGCAAGCTGGCTGGACTAGCAGAATGAGAAGGCTCTGGGTTCGAGTGAGAGACCCTTGCTGGAGATGATAAATAGAGAGTGATTAATTGAGATGGGATACCTGACATAAATCTCTGGCCTTCACAGGCACACACACAAACGTTCACAGCTGTGCGCGCATGTGCCCACACACATGAACATGTATGTATGCTCATGTGTCTGCAGCACAACACACACACACACACACAGAGAAAAATTAAAACGCCCAACCTCCTGTCTACCTATAAAAAATTGTGGTAATATGTGCACCCAGGACGGGCCGTCTTCGTCGTCTGCGGCCGTGTCTGTCACTGAGGAAGCCCGTCTACGCTGTTCCACCACTGTCTCCGCCAGCCCAGTCCTGAAGTTTTTTCATCTACAGCAACGGTTTCCCTTTGCCCTCCTCCAGCCCCCTGGCAGCCACAGGTCTGCTTTATATCTCATGAGCTGGATGGACCGTGCCGTGCTCCTTCCCTGCGTGCCTGGCTTTCTTCACTACTGCTTGTGGGTATCCTTCCCCCAGACCTCGGCTCTCCAGATGTCCTTCTGCAGGGCTGATCCTTCTGCAGAGCATCACAGGCTATGACCTCTCCCTAACCATCCTCTCTGAGGCTGGCCTCTCCCCGCCCTTCGTTGATCCTTGTCTTGCTTGCCCGTGGTCACCTGTCTCTTGATACGTGTGTTGTGTACAGGCTATGCTTTTTCCTCTTTGACCACCTGTCCCCCTGGATCCTCACATCTGAAGGGGTTGAGATGATGCCCATAGCCTGGGTTTATTCCTCGGGTGTAACCCAGTCCCAGCCCTGACTCAGTTCCCAGCCCTGCTGTCAGGCACTCAGTTAACATCTGTAGAGGATTGAGGGGTTAAGGAGTGCTTCTTTGCCTATGGCCTTGGCTCTGGCCATCAGGAAGCCTTTTGAGCGGCCGGGTTATTGGGTGCCCCAGAGATAAACGCCAACGCAAATGCTTCTAGTCTTGATATGGTCTTTGCTATCTCCCTAAGTCTTCCCTGGAAAGTGTCTGGCTTTGTAAATCTGTGCCTCTGATGGCAAAGTTCGCTCATATCACCCATGTGACTGTGTGCTCAGACAAAGTAAACAGAGTTTAATATAGACTCGAATAAAACACAATTAAAAAAGCAAAGAAGTGGCCACAGAGAAGTTGGTCCCCATATTCATACACTAGATAAAATGAGTTTTGGTTGAGTTCTTTCATTGAATTATCCACACCACTAACTTTTAGACTATTATAATTAGACTTTATTAATATTAAAAATAGGATACCAGTTTTCAGGCCTGAGGGATTAGAGCATAACTCCCTGAAGAAGCTTGAGGTCTTGGCCTGTTCATTCTGGAAGGTGCCTCACTGAGGATCACATACTAGTCTTTGAATGCATGAACGATGTAATTGCAAGCAGGTGACATCAGGGGCATCCCAGAGTCCTCAGAGACGCTGAGGGAAGAGAATGTGGAGCTACAGCCTTTTGGCCTCCAGCAGGCATTTTTGAATAAAACTATGATAGTTAAATATGAAATATTTACATAATGGTTACATTCAGGAGGAGTCAGTCATTTTCTTGGTGCCTTTTTTGATGGATGCCAGCATTTCCGTCATTGTTGAGTATGGAGGAAAGGACGTGTGTGTGTGGTGTGTGTGTGTGTGTGTGTGTGTGTGTGTGTGTGTGTGTGTGTGTGGTGTAGTCATTTGTTGAACATCGAGTAGAGGCTCAAATTTTATATATAGTGGGTGGAAAGACACCTCCTTTATCATCTCCGCTTTAAGAAAGGGCCTCTTGCTGAACTTGAAGCTCGTTGATTAGGCTAGGCTGGGTGGCCAGTGAGCTTCAGGTGTCTGCCTGTCTCTAGCCCCTCACTTTT